ATACCTTGATCAAAGTAGAAAATGGAATGCCCAATTAGTAGCACTGTGAATTGTGTATGCGATAATCCTGGCTCCACCTGAGCGCTGCGGTGGGCAGAGGGATTGTTTGTGGGAATGCTTATCATGAACAAGAAAAACCACTACCAGGGATTGTATTTTTAGAAACAACCACAGCATTACTAGTAATGTAGCGAGTGATTACACCAGAATCTGCTTGCACAGCTAGACAATCAAATCCCATTATGTACAAGCTTGGATTGCAGTCATTTTTCCCTAAAAAATTCTGAAGTATAATTCTGTACTTTGACATCTTGGTGGATCCTTATCCCATTGCCCAGTCACTGTACAGGTGATGGTTTCTTCACCAATTAGTGAATAATTCCCAAGACATGAATATCTTGCTATACTTCCATATGGCCAGGAGTCACTGTCAGATGATGAAACTGTCCCATTAGCAATATGTGGAGGATCAGGACACTGGACAACTAGGGAAGAGTGAAGTTAGAAGACTGTCAAATAAATGCCTCATGACAAAGCATACTGCCTGACTGATACAAACTGTTATTCCCACTCTCTACCCCACCTCTGCTGACTTAACAGCCAAACAAGCAGTTTTTAGGCACATCAGACATACGGCACACTGGCAGCAGGATTGGGAGGAGTCAGAAACACCAGCTGTTTTTGGGGATGCTATTTTAAAATCAGAGTTGGAGATTATTAGATACAAGTCAATTGCATTCTGCTCAATCATAAACAGGACAATCAAAACAAATCTCAGGTGAAAGCTTATGCAACATTTTAGAATAATCAAAGTTAACAGCTAAGATAGACTAACACATAACAACAATTCCTAATATTAACTGCAAGATATCTTGCAGTTATTCTATTGCCCAACACTGTCCATTTTCACCATTCTTGCCCAATTTAAATCAATTTAGCAATCTCAATACTAGTATAAAAATTTGTTGTTCAGAGATAAAATATCATGCTTAAAGATAATTTGAATGAGTGTTTAACAAAACTCAAGTTGACCAAAAAAAATTGCAAGTCTAGCCAATGCTCACTTTTGCTTGCAACCTCAAATTCTACAGCACAACTCCACAGCAGTGATAACAAGGTGCAGGGCTGGATGAACACAGCAGGCCAAGCAGTATCATAGGAGCAGAAAGGCTGACATTATGATACTGCTTGGCCTGCTGTGTTCATCCAGCCCTGCACCTTGTTGTCTCGGATTCTCCAGCATCTGGAGTTCCTACTATCTCAGATCCACAGCAGTGACGTTTTGTCGGTGGCTTAGGACGGAATTCAGAGACAGCTTTTGTACATTAAAATGCATCAGGTTTCATGTGTAGCTTCTAAATTCGAGAGGCATAGTTCACTAATTGCCAGCACAGTAGCATTAATGCTAGTATGCTCTTTTAATATTGGAAAAAAATGTTGTTTCTTGTACCACACAAATTATCTTGGACATTCATGATCAAGATTGCTTCCTTACTTTTCCCTCTTGCTGAAGGAAGTCCATGATAGAAACTAAGTGACCGCTCAAAAGTAGCAGCTTGATTCATGGAATGGAAACCAGCCTGAAGGGTCTAGGCCCGAAATGTCAGCCTTCCTGCTCCTCTGATGCTGCTTGGCCTGCTGCGTTCATCCAGCTCTACACCTTGTTACCCCCAGTCATTACACGTCACAGGTTTATACAGTGACAAATCAAGAGTCATGCTTTTCCTAGCTATGCTGGAGTTTATTTAAAAAAGCTAATGCTAACATCTAGTCAATTTTCCATCTATGGTATTTGCTTAGTATTATTCAATTATTTGGTGCAGAAAAACCAAAGCAACCATCCTGCAATTTTAAGCTACTAACTTACTTTCACATGTTGGAACCTGTCCATCCCAGCCCCTAATTGTACAAGTTCGGTAGTTCTTTCCAACAATGCGGAATCTAGAAGGGGAGGTTAAAAAAAAGTGTTAAAAATGTGATGCACACCAAGAAGCAAAAAAGCTGAAGGATTGCTTAGTTCAAAGTCAATAAAACAGGCTTTACTATTTGAGGGAAATCAGTGATAGGACAAAGTAAAAACCAAAGTTTGGTGTTACTATGCAACAGGGCCTTCAGCCATGCTCATTTCCCCTCTAGCATCCTGCACTTGTTGGCCTCACTACTCCTTCAGTCAATTTGTTTGAAACAGCATGTCAGCTATCTCAATATCTCATGTGGCGCTGTCCTCAATAGACAGAATGCTGATAAACATCCTGTGGTGCTTGACATGAGAAAGGTTATGATGTTGATTTAGAGGTTTAAAAAAAGTTAGGCAAAAAGCGATGTGAATGGATAAGCAGGCCTAATGCAAGAGAACCAGTAGGAGGTAACATGAAAGCCATTTGATAAAAGATACCACAAAAGAAAGTTTGCTGCCAAGAGAAAAGGAGTTGCACCTGTATGCAGACTACATACACAAGTGTCAACTATAGGTAATGAATTGACTAATATGGGAAACAGTTGGGATTAAAAAACCTTTACTTGCAAACTGTAACCAGGGTACACTGAATATCAGCATAGTCACCTCAACAGTTAACAACCTTGGTTAATAACTTGGATGAAAGGAAGGATTTTTTCCACCAAAATTGAGTTATGATGCATTTCAATGAGGATTATATGAAACGTCTGCACTGGAATAAGTTAGGTTAATGACCGCTATCGTGTTGCGTGGCACTACTATCACCATGCTAAAATGGGACAGACTTCGCAGATCTAGCAACTCAAGACTGGACATCCATGAGGCACTATGGGCCATCAACAGCAGAATTATTCTCCATCACAATCTGTAACCTCATGGCCCGGCATGTCCCGCACTCAACCATTACCATTGAGCCAGGGAATCAACCCTAGTTCAATGCAGAGTGCAGGAGGGCATGCGACAAGCAGCACCAGGCACAGCTGAAGATGAGCTATCAACCTGGTGAGGCCACCAAACAGTACTACTTGCACGCCATACAGCAATAGCTGCAAGTGATCGAGCTAAGCGATCCCACGACCACCGGATCAGATCTAAGCTCTGCAGTCCTGCCAATTCCAGTCGTGAATGATGGTGGACAATTAGACAACTCACTGGGAGGAGGCTCCACAAATATCCCCATCCTCAGGTGATGCAAGAGCCCAGCACATCAGTGCAAAAAGGTAAAGCTGAAGCGCTCGCAGCAATCTTCAGCCAGAAGTGCCGAGTGGACGATCCATCTGCGCCTCCTCCAGTGGTGCCCAGCATTACAGATCAGTCTTCAACCAATTCAATCCACTCCACATGATATCAAGAAGCAGTTGGAGACACTGGATACTGCAAAGACTACGGGCCTTGACAACATTCTGTCAATAGTACTGAAGACTTGTGCTCCAGAACTTGCCGCTCCCTTAGCCAAGCTGTTCCAGTGCAGTTACAACACCGGTATCGCCCCAATGTGGAAAATTGCCCAAGTATGTCCTGTACATAACAAGCACGACAAATCCAACCTGGCAATACTGCCCCAGTCTACTGCCAATCAGTAAAGTGATGGAAGGTGTCATCAACAGTGCTATCAAGCAGCACCTGCTCAGTGGCACCCAGTTTGGGTTCTGCCAGGGCCACTCAGCTCCTGACCTCGTTACAGCCTTGGTTCAAACATGGACAAGAGAGCTGAATTACAGAACAGAGGCGAGAGAGTGACAGCCCTTGATATCAAGGCTGCATTTGACAGTGTACCAAACTGGAATCAATGGGTATCAGGGGGCAAACACTCTGGTGGTTGGAGTCCTACCTGATACACAAGAAGATGATCATGATTGTAGGAGGTCAATCATCTCAGCTCCAGAACATCTTTGCAGGAGTTCCTCAGGGTAGTGTCCTCGGTCCAACCATCTTCTCCTTGGGATATGCTTGTAATGGAAGCATTTTAAAGAGAAGGATCATTGGACTTGAAATGTTAACTGTTTTCTCTCCACAGATGCTGTCCATCTGCTGTGTTTCTCCAGCACCATTTCAGATTTCCAGCATCCACAGGTTGTGTTCAATTTAGAGGCAGCTCATTTGACCGATTCCTCAGAAAGGAAGTCTCACGGGCAACAGTCAAGTTGAAACTTGGTTCAAAAAAACCAACAAATGTATGACCTACTGAAGCATAGAAATTTGAGGGGTCTCAATAGGAGAGATGCCAAAGAAATTTCTTCATTCTGTCTTAAGGGACTTCAGTTTTTGAAGTTCTCTAGCTGAGAGATGATTTGAAGCTCTGTCATTTAACATAGTCAAGCCCAAGTTAGAGGGATTTTTGATGATCACACACAAAAAAAAGATAGATAGGAAAAAGGGGAGTCAGAGCCATAACCAAAAATCAGTCGTGTTATTATTAATTGCAGAACACTGAATGATGGTACTAATCCGGATTTTGGTCAGCACAAGGAGTCAGGTATCTTCAAATCATACAACCATTCAATTGAACCAAGCCTGTTAAGGAACAAGCATAGCATCATATTTCAATTCTGAGTCCAGTGATTTTTGTATTTCCTTTTAAACAGTTGAAGTTTCTAATTGATGGGATTCAATCCCTCAATCCAGTTGGAGACAAAATACATGACCATACTTTGCAAAAAAATTACAACAGTGGGACAAAACCAACTATAGAGCAGCAAACCTTTTCAGACACTACAGGAATTCACCAATGGTCTCTTTAGCCATTGATAAATGGTGAAAGATACAGATAGATAATGGATGGCCCCAACTCAACTGCAATAATAATAATTTTTTCCACCACAGGGCTCGAACACTTACCCTTTATCGCAATAAAAATAAGCTTTATTTCCAAAAGTGGTATCTGATACATTATAATATCCATTCAAAATCTCTCCAGGATTGCCACAGTTGATTGCTAGAGGGAGAAAGAAGAAAGTTAAAATATAATCACATTAGCCAATAGGGTTTAAAATACAATTCAGAAGAGCTTCAAGTACAAGGCTTTTCAGACAATAGATTACTGCAATTCAAGAATGCCACTGGACAAAATTTTTTAATTTGCATTGCAGAAAATGTTGTCTGATAATGCCCCAGATTTACTTAATCCAAGCCTAACAATTCTGCACTGTGTACGTTTGACCGATTAATCCAAGCTGAGGGGAAGGATCCAGTTTTTACTTCAATCAATTTGTTTCCTCCAGGCCATGGTAGAACACAATTAAAAATAAGTCTCAGGTGCATATAAAGTCTATTGCTCAAACAATATCTGAGAAAGACTTGCAAGAGAGCACGAACGGGGAAAAGTTTTCATACAGCTCACTTTACAAAAGATTGCAATGCAGTATTCGAGAAACAGGAATGAGGGGGACGGGAAGCAGGCTACTCAATGCTTCACAAATGCTTTGTCATTCAATACAAAAAAAAGTGATGGCTGATCCTCTCAATGCTATAATTCTGCTTTCTTCCCTGGATACCTTTAAAATCAAAACATTGAAAGCCAACAATTGTCTTCCACAACCTTCTCCTGTAGAGAATTCCACAGGCTCACTACATCTCAGGACAAGATGAATTCAGCATTTCCAACCACAATTCAAATTAGACAACTGTAAAGAGCAGAAGTTCGAATGCTGAGAATACAAAAGCCAGAAGAGTTATTGGTTTTCTACAACTAAACATGACTGCCATTGAGCCATCACCCACACTAGTCCCCTTCAACAGACTGCTCAGCTCACGAGCAATCGTAATTGGATGAATTGCTTGGTCCACATTTTGACCTCCACATGGCATCAGCAGGAACAAGGAATCTACTTGCATCACCAACTCAACATTCCCAAATCATGGGAGAACCTAAAGTTGTTCAGTTTCCTAAAAAAGTTAACCTTAGCAAAAATTAAAAAAAAAGTGTGCCTTAGAGTCATACAGCACAACATGCTGGACTTAATATTGCTATTGACTACAGAATCTGCAAGTTGACAAATATCTTGAATCAGCCAGAAATGTTTAGTACACAGCACCAATCCATCACATGTCGAATTGCACACAATTGCAGGGGCACTAGAAATACAGCAACAGACAATGGCACAGACTTTCCTCTCCAAAATCATAACGATAAAGGGAATCACCAGTTTTGCTATACCACAAACAGTCCCACAATGGTCGTCATCTAGATTTTTCTCAAATCAACCTGTTCACAAATGTGATTTTGAATAGACAGGCACCACATTCTGCAACCAGGTCACATGATTGGAGAGTTCAGACTTTAATGCCAGCAGTTCCAATCTACCTACATTTTAAAACAGAAAACCAGCTTTCCCAATCTCAGTTGCAGCATGCCTCTAATGTCAATCTCTTGTACTATTATTCATTGGGAAAGAAAGTGAATAATTCTTAATACACAGGAATCAAATTCTTATACCTTGAAAAACACCCAACTGCATCCTAGCTTCTAGAAACTGCATAATGCAAGAATAGCCAACATGGATTGGACATAGGACTTGCTGGATTCCAATTCATGTGAATTTGCAGCCATACATTTCCCCTCAAAGAAGTTCCCAATTCACACTTTCCCTATTGCTTGCATGGGTATTGTTGGGAAAAAAAAAATACAAAAAAAATGTTGGATTTGAAAGCGAGTAAACTAAGCTTTGGTTTTCACCCCAACGACTGGTGAGTCACAAGAAAAAAGTGGACTTCACTCAGAACAAAAAAGGCAAGGTGGAAGAAAAGGGAAAACCATTAAGTTTAAAAATTATCTTTGCCTCCAGAGAGAAGAGTGGGAGAGAGACATTTCTATTCACCTTCCTGCTTGCTGGAGGTGGTTTCTTTTGCAAGCAAGATATGCCTCAGGTGATGCCTGCCCCTACAGCCTCAGGCACAGCTGCAGGCATCTGATCAGTCTTCCGGGGATTCAACACAAGGAAAGTGACAGGCCCGGATGGTTTCCCCAGCCATTCATTCAGATCCTGTTAAGGCCAACCGGCAGGAGGTATCCATCTTCAATCTGTCCCTCCTTTCAGCCACCTGCTTCAAGACCATCATTCCCATACCTAAGAAAGCACATGAAGGGCTTCAAGAGGCTGGTCACGGCCCATATCAACTCCAATCTCCCACCCTGCCCATCAACATAATTGGGTCCACAACTGATGCCATATTCCTAGCCCGGCACTCATCCCTGGATCATCTGGACAAAGACAACTATGTCAGACTCCTGCTCTGACTGTAGTTCCACGTTCAACACCATTATCTCCCCCAGACGGATCTCAAAATTCTGTGACCTTGGTCTCGGCCCCACCCTCTGCAACTGGATCCTCACCTTTGCAGCATATGGGTCAGAATCAGTGACGATAGGTAACTGCACCTCCTCTACAATAACAACACTGTAGCCGCACCAAGGAGTCGTCCTCAGCCCCCTACCTTACTCCCTGTACACTCACAACTGTTGCGAAATTCCAAACAAACACCATCTACAGAGTTTGCTGATGACACCACCAGTGGGATGGATATCCAACAACAATGTCAAAATACAGATGGAACATAGAGGGCTTGGTGACATGGTGCAACAAAAAAAAAAACCCCTCTCTCTCAACAGCAGAAGAAACTAAAGAACTGATCATTGACTTCAAAGAAAGGAGGAGGAGTGCACCCCCATCTACAAATCTAACGGAACCGAAGAAGTTGACAGGGTGGAGAGCACCAAGTTCCAAGTTCCTCGGAGTGATGATAACCAACTACCTTTCCTGGACTGCCCATGTAGATGCAGTCAAGGTGGCACAACAACACTTCAGGAAATGTGAAGCACTTGCCATCACGCAACTCCCACACAAAGAACAATTATTTGTGACATGTCCCTATTTAAAACATACTCCAGAACAAGTCGTCATTTCTTACAAGAAAGAACTGCCAAAATGCAGTGACAAAGCTAATGGAAGGAGAAAATAAAATTGCTCATTACTTACGTTCACAGACAGCATGAAGGGGAGACCAAGTTCCATCTTTCCTGCAGGTAATACGTTTTGAACCTCCTTCCTGAAATGCATATCCTGTATCACACCTATAAGTAATATTTGTGCCCACAGGAAAGGTAGTCGGAGAATTAACTGCTGAGCCATTTTTCAGAACAGGAGGTTTTCCACAGTCACCTTCAAAAAGGGAAAAATAAGAAACAGCTTTTAAAAATTCAACAAGTCTTCCTTTTAGTGACTCATCTGACTTTTCCAGTGCACTAATGTAGAAGATCACCCTCAAAATATGCTAAGAGTTTCAGATCTTTTCACGTTGTACATCAATTTTCTCCCCAGTCTCAAGTTTGTGGATTTCAAGTTTGGCCACCTTTGTAAGAGAACCCCTCGAGAAAGAAACCAATTCAAATCCAAATCAAGAACCAAAAATCATAAGGATTGTGACTGTCCAATGGAAGTGCTTTAATAGCAAACTTTAAAAACTTGATTTTAAAGAGCAACAAAACACAAAACCCAAGGGTTTTGCAGGTATTCACAGGGAATAAAACAGACAGGATAATTCTAACATTACATAGAAAGAGAACAAGGTGTTGAGGCAACAATTAACATGGAGTACAGCCTCAGGCCAGTTAGTTGGCTAATTTAATCTGATCTAGTCATCTGCACATGGAGCAAGGTGTTTATCTAAACTTAGCAAATCCCCATAAATACATAGAAATTTTGGTCCAATGTGATCAAGACCTGACTGAACTTTAAACTAGAAAGTAGGACCAGAAGGCCAGAATGTCTTTTCTCAGAGCACTCGCTCGGAAAGACTTTGAGGCTTCCAGTGGAACTGGCAGTTTTCAAAATTGTGAAAAATCAAAAAAAAAACAAAGTTTCTTACTGACACTAGGAGTAGGAGTAGAAGAAATGCTTCATTGGATGACGCAATGAAAGTTAGGCAGAAGCATGGGATCTTTCTCTTCCTAGTCATGTGCTTGCAAAACCCCCAGTGCAGTTCAATCTTTTTTTGTATAGAGCTGGATGAACACAGCAGGCCTAGACCCTTCTTCAGGAAGAAAGGTTTTTCTGAAGGAGGGTCAAGGCGCGAAACATCAGCCTTCCTGCTCCTCTGATACCGCTTGGCCTGCTGTGTTCATCCAGCTCTACACCTTGCTGTCTCAGATTCTCCAGCATCTGCAGTTCCTACTATCTGAAGTCTTTTTTTGGTTCTTGGCCAGCTGCAGCCTGCCACTCACTCAGTTTGCTCAGTCCTAAGGGTGAGCTATTACTTAGTGACGACTAGTAATAATTGCTCCATCTTCCTTATGATCAGTTCCAAGATCAAATTCACTCACATGCAACCTAAATATTGACAGAGGTAGTCGTCATTAGGTAGGAAGAATGGAAGTGTACGGCTTTGCACTTCACTCTCCAATTCGATCTCGATTTCTTCCTTCAAGATTTATTCCAAGCAGAAAATTCTGACTTGGAAAACTATGTTGAAGGAATTGGCAAACTGCAGGGTCAAAAACGCTCACTCTTCTGAACAAAATTTGGGGCTACTTACAGGCTTTCAGGGCAACTAGAGATGGGCAGTAAATGCTGACCCAGACAGGGACGCTCACATCACATGAATAACTAAATAGAAAGTTCCATGGGGCAGTGACAGAAAAATGTAAAGAGGCAACTTCTGCAGTGCCTTTAAATCATTCTTTGAGGAGTGACAACAAAGCATATCCCCAAATGCTTATTCATTCTGGAACAGAAGTGGGTCTCAAGTCATATTCCTATTCATATTTCCATAGAAACATTCCAATGCCACAAGGCACTTACAAGTTTCTTAGATCAATTTGGTTAATTATGCAGAAAGTGGGGATGTTCTGACCATTCGGATAGGAAAATTGCCAGACAACTAATCTAACTGCCGTAGGAAAAGTTTGGTAAACCAAAACAGTGATCAATGTTTTAACCAAACAGTTTTCACAAATGTATAGTCTAAAAACAATAAACCCAGAGGATTGGTTTTAAATAGATTGGAGGAAAGCTTCCAAGATTTTTCTGGTTCATTGTCAAACTCACAAAGCGCTTACTCACGTTCACAGGTCGGTGGAGGAGGTACAAATGTGTTATTTTCACGACATTCAATGACACTTCCGCCAAACATTTTAAAACCTTTGTTGCATCCATAAGTGATAGTGTCCAGATACGTGTACGTTTTCTTAAAGCCTGCCACCATTTTTCCATTTGCAGGCACTTTAGGACGATTACATCGCACAACTGTCGAATCAAAAGAGCAAAGTGAGTTTGAGGATCTTCTGTACCTATGATGTTAAAACGTGTTTTTTTTGTGGAGGGTGGGAAAGAAAGAAGGAAAGAGTCAAAAGGAGGAGGAGGAGTGTTACCCTCTGTCGTCAAGAGACAAGACAATAAATAGCGATTCTTGAAGTCAAAATCATGCAGATCAGCACAAGATGCACATTGATGCTTAATCTTGCACAGCAGCTTTGCCTTGTTCAGCTTATTTTACACAAATCAGAACCTCCAATATTTACAGCCATTTACTTGGTTGTCTTAAGGTTCATCTCATTTCAGATCCCAAACCACTTCACAGCTGACATGTGCATTAGAGAGCTTTCCCTTCCTCGTTTCTGAATTGCAAGACAAACTTCCGATCTGTCAACAGCTCATTCTTTAAAATATGTAATGGTTCTCACTGCTCTACTTGCAATGCGGAAAAAATATATCCAAGTACAGTGTATGCAACATAGTAACTCAACACAGCAAATCTCTCAGCAACAGAATCAGCTGGTAGCTTTCCACGTTCATGTGATAACTAACATCTGAAAACATTTGCCAAAAATGACTTGTGGTGGCAGGAAAGGTAAGCAGTCCAAGAAAACTGGAACTAACAACTCATCTTGCACTATTGCTTGGGAACAAAATCATGCAAGTTTCACTCTTGAAATCTCTTTCAAACAGTGAGGTCATGAAGAAAAAACAAACAAACTTGCAAAGTGTTTGAACAATCTAAACTGAGCTAAGAACTGCAGTAAATTCATACACTTCAATAAGGGATTATGCTCAAATACAGTGTACGCAAATTTGATTCCTGAAACTTTTCAATAACTGGATTCCGAGGAACCTAAAATTAGAAGCATCTGCCTCAGGGAATGCAGACAGGTCTATTTTAAAATAGAGCAAACTGCGAAAATATTGGAGGGTGGTCTAACTGCTGCATTGTAAAACCCTGGTCTAAAGTTCGGATGCATTTTGAGGCATACATACCAATAAGTCATTTACCTTCCATTTTGGCAACATCAACAGATCAAACACCGCAAATCTCCATAAGCAAATCTTGTGTACATATTCAGGTTTTAAGGATAAAGCGAGAATAGGATGAAAAGAGCCATAACATGTCATAACCATTCTAGATTTAATCAAAAAAACAGTACAACTTGCCTGTGTTTTCAGTGATCACTCGACTTGAATATTTCATTGAATCAAGGGATTCAAAAGCAGCAGTGGTTAGTATTGCTGCCTCAGTGCCAGGGACCAGAGTTCAATTCCAGCCTTGGGCAACTGTACGGAGTGTACGTGTTCTGCCTGGATGCATTTCCTCTAGGTGCTCCGGCTTCCTGTCAGAAGTCGAAGTCGTGCAGATTAGGTAGATTGGCCTGCTAAACATGGAGGTGGATCTGGGTGGGATGTTCTTTGCAGGGTCAGTGTAGACTCAACAGGCCAAATGCCCTCCTTCTGCACTGTTGGGTTTCTACTATTTATAAAACAGCTCATTCTCTCCTCCTCAAATGACCCCCAACACCCATACTTAATTCAATTCTTTTGTTTACTGCTTACTTAATCTCATTGACTTCTGACTTACAGACAGAATGTGTCGAGTCAGGTGCAATCAGTATAAATATGGATTGTCTAAAGGTTACAGTAGATTTGTAGCTCGGATTGTGGAAGTTGTGGTTGGTTGGCTCGCTGAGCTGGTTCATTATTCTGCAGATGTTTCATTGGGTAACATCAATGCAGCCTCCGATAGTGTGCTGTGGTGTTTTCTCACCTGGTATTTCAACTCAGATGTCCCTTGAGCTGGATTACCTCACTTCCAGTTTCCCTTCACAGTGGGGTGTATATATAGGGTCTACCTCCGTTTGTTGATGGCCTTCTTAGAAGAGAACCAGGCTTCTAGGAACTCCCGTGCTGGTCTCTGCTTTGCTGGTCCCAGGATCCTGGTGTTGTCCCACTTGAACTGGTGGTCTTCCTCATCCATGTGGATGCAGGTGAGGGAGTATTGGTCGTGTCTTTTTGTTGCCAGTTGATGTTTGTGTACTGTTGTGGCTAATTTCCTTCCTGTCTAATGTTTGTCACAGTCTATGCAGGGAATCTTGTATACGACATTGGTTTTGTCCATCGTGGATGGCGGGTCTTTGGTTTGGGTTAGCAGTTGGCATAGGGTTGATGTGGGTTTGTGTGCTACAAAAAGCAGAGTACCTCTTTCAAAGTATTCAAAAGATGACAGATACCTGAAAAACTAGGTCAGAAGATGCCTATTACACAAACACCAGGAAGATACTGCACACCCAGACACACTCACTACCTTACATCAAGAACACATTTGAACTGACAAGACTCCCATGACCACTGGGCATCAGAGTAGCACACAAACCCAGACCAACTGCTACCCTGAACCAAAGGCCCACTATGGACAGGACCAATGTCATATGCAAGATTCCCTGCATAGACTGCGATGAACATTACATTTGACAAAATCAGTACACAAACATCAACTAGCAACAAAAAAGACACGACCAATACTCAGTCATGTCCATCCACATAGATAAGGAAAACCACCAGCTCAAGTGGGATAACACCAGGATCCTGGGACAGGCGAAGCAGAGAAGAGCACAGAAATTCCCAGAAGCCTGGTTCTCCACTAAGGCCATCAAACACAGAGCGAGACTCTATATATACACACACTCCACTGTGAAGGGAAACCAGAAGGGAGGTAACCCGGCTCAACAGACACCAAAGTTTAAATGACAGGCGGGAAAACACAACAGCGCTTCAAACCAGAGGCTGCACTGAAGTTACCCAGCAGAGTAATGAAATGTCTCTGGAACAACAAACCAGCTTGGCAAGCCAACCAACTACAACAAACATGGATACTGTCATCAGATGCTGCCAAAGATGAACAGGTAGATGCGATGTTGAAGGGGCCAACAACAGATCCTTACTTGGTACTGGAACAGTGATAGTCCAGGAAGGGAGGCAATTCAATTGCCTCCAAGTGCAGTTAGTAACAATTGTGGAAACAGCACAATGTTGTACCACTTAGCTGGACAAGGAGCATTGCATTCAAGGGAGGATGTTGCAGTTAACTGTGTTCGTGGCTAAATATAGATCAGGACATATATCCTGGGATGATTAAATTGTGGAAAGTGAACACATTCCACTTGTTATAGAGTAAGGAATCTATCAATCAATGCTTTCAGCTATTTCCCCCCCCATCAACACCACTATGCTAATGCAACAGTCAATGTGACATAAATGGCAAGAGACTTGGTCCATACTGGAGGAGTGGGTTGGAAGGAAGTTACACTGGACAGGAAACACCATACCTTGATCAAAGTAGAAAATGGAATGCCCAATTAGTAGCACTGT